ATATACTGTCCCTACTTATTATAAGCATTTAAAAGTACATAGTTTCCATAACCAGAATTTTAAGTGGCTCCATCATCTTTCAGAATTTAATCAGCCAATTTTGCTTAATCATTCGCTTAATTTTAAATTTTTAGCTTGTTTCAGATTTTTTAAAAATGTATTTGTTTCTTCTAAGAGAGAGAGAAAGCACCCTTAACAAAGTCCTCACACTATGATCCACCCTCGAACTCAGATACACAGGTGCATCCTTCGTGTGTATAGAGAGATGTCAGGACATGAATCAGACCTTTCCATGTGGGCTCAGCATCACAGAGCATTGTACCACCACTGTGCCTTCATGTCCGGCCCAGGATTTCTTTATTGTTATAAACAATGCTGCAGGGAGCATAAGGCTTTGTCCACCTTTCTGATTAAGTTTTAATGAGGAGTGTTTCTTATGTCTTGGGTACTGTTCTGGTTTACAATGATTATCTCATGTAATCTCTAGAGAAAAACCTTATAGGTAGATAATTTTCTTATCCCATTTTACAGCTGAGGAAACAAGCACAGACAATGAGCTTTTTTTTTTTTTTTTGCCCCAGGTTAAGCAGCAGAGTTCAAATGATGCTTAATCATTCGCTTAATTTTAAATTTTTAGCTTGTTTCAGATTTTTTAAAAATGTATTTGTTTCTTCTAAGAGAGAGAGAAAGCACCCTTAACAAAGTCCTCACACTATGATCCACCCTCGAACTCAGATACACAGGTGCATCCTTCGTGTGTATAGAGAGATGTCAGGACATGAATCAGACCTTTCCATGTGGGCTCAGCATCACAGAGCATTGTACCACCACTGTGCCTTCATGTCCGGCCCAGGATTTCTTTATTGTTATAAACAATGCTGCAGGGAGCATAAGGCTTTGTCCACCTTTCTGATTAAGTTTTAATGAGGAGTGTTTCTTATGTCTTGGGTACTGTTCTGGTTTACAATGATTATCTCATGTAATCTCTAGAGAAAAACCTTATAGGTAGATAATTTTCTTATCCCATTTTACAGCTGAGGAAACAAGCACAGACAATGAGCTTTTTTTTTTTTTTTGCCCCAGGTTAAGCAGCAGAGTCCAAATGAACCCAGGAAGTCTAGGGTCTATTTTCATCCCCAAGAGTGCAATTCCTGGGTCAAAATTTCATTAATAGGTTTACCCAAAGGAAGACCTTGTAAAATAAAACTCATTCCAAACCTCCATACTGGTACTTGGCGCCTTCAGGTTACATCTGCTCTTCTCATGTGCCAATTAGATGGAGAGTGAAGTGGGAAAGTCTCCAAATGAAACTGACCTCAAAGAAGCTGGTTCGCCTACTTCCTCATGGAGCATAATAAAGTTTCCCAAGAGGACACCTGAGGAATGTTTTTGGTTTAGCAAGGTTAGAATCACTGCGTTCATGTCTTTCTGCTGCTTCTGCTATTTTAAATAGACAGTGCCAATATGTTCTTACATTCCGTGCCATTCCCACCTACATCCCTGCAATGCATTGGTAGTGTTACATTTCCAAGAAACGGTGTCACTGTGCATTCTAGCCACTTTGCAAGGGGAGTTATGCTGTTCTCATCAGGGGCCTGTTCAACACAACAGAACACTTTCTCATTCTGCCACACAGCTCATTATCACTCAGACTTTCATGCAGTCAGAAGTCAGTAAGTCAAAATAGATTGGCTAGGCTTAACAGGGACTCTAGAAAATATGCTTTGGAGCCTTCCCCTAGCTTCTCCAAGAGGTCACAGGCTCTTTGCTGTTCTGTGCCAGGCCATACATAGTACACCTGATCTACTCTGTCAGTCATTGAAGCAGGAAAACTTTTCATCAAAATAATTTGGTTCTCTTAAATCACACCAGTGTTTTCTGAATCCCATGAGCTGAGTATCATGTTGGCGTGGAATCAGCCTATGACAAATTGGCTTTGTGAGCTGAGTCAAGTTACATATGACCTTTGAGCCTTAGCTTCTATCTGCAAAGGGAACATGCTATCTCCCTCATGTAACAGTCACAAGGATTAGAAGATGGACCCAAAGTGTCTAGTTTATGCATTCTGGCATAGACTGACACTAAGTAAATATTCTAGTGCTTCCTTCGCATATGGCCAAGCTTTAAAAGTTAGGGT